GCGCTGTGGCTCAAGTGGTAGAGTGCTAGCCTTGAGCTGAAGAGCTGAGGGACAGCGCCCAGGCCCAGAGTTCAGGCCCCATGACCGGACCCCCCCCCAAAAAAAAGAAGTAAATAAACTGCTGTAATCCCAGCTACAAGGAGGTATAAGAAGGAATATCTCAGTCTAAGCCTGACAGTCAAAAATTCAAGACCCTATCCAAAAAAAAAGGGATATAATTCAAGTAGAATACTTGCCTAGCAAGCACAGCCCAGAATGTAAAACGTAGTAGGACAGGAAGGAAGGAAGGAAGGAGCGAGGGAAGGAAGGAGGGCGAGCGGTTGGGCAGGCAGGCAGAATCTCTCAATGGTGATTATGCTACTGTAAAATTCCAGATGAGAAAAGCTGATGGCTATTCTAGGTGGTATCAAAGGGAACAGAAAGGACCGACAGGATTTCAGAGACAATGAACTCACAGTAATTGATAAATTAGGACTCTTTGAATGTAATATTTAGCAGGACCTACAGTGTCATTCTAGCCATGCATCCATTAATAACAATAGTAGGGAAATGGAACTAGGCATCTTGAGAGGATGGCTGGGGTTGGGATAGATGGGGAAGGGGGAGAGTAATCAAGATGCACTGTTCTCATTAACTGATAGACTGAACTGAAATCTTTTATACAAGATATTTGAAAATAAGTTTTGAAAACAAAAAACAACAGAGAACATATACTGCTTACCATACATTCTAATTGTTTTTTTTTTTCTTTCTTGCCAGTCTCGGGGCTTGAACTCATGGCCTGGGAGCTGTCCCTTAGCCTCTTTGTGCTCAAAGATAGCTCCTTACCACTTCGAGCCACAGTGCCACTTTCGGCTTTTTCTGAGTAGTTTATTGGAGATGAGAATCTCACAGACTTTCCTGCGATCCTCAGATCTCCGCCTCATGAGTGGCTAGGATTACAGGCAGGAGCCAGCAGCGCCCAGCCATTTTTGAATATTGGGCAGACATGAATTCATTTAATTCTTACAACACTATGAAATATATTCCATAGCCATCCCAGTTTTACAGATGAGAAACTAAGACTTGCATCCGTTATTAGCCAGTAGATATTTAAGTTAGTAAGAAGTTAGATATGGCCTTAGGTAGTGTAACCTCCCCCCCTACTAAAAACTCTTTATGGATAAACTAACCAGCTGTAAAGTAAAACAACAAAACCCAAGGAAGGCACGTACGGCAATGTTAAGAGCCGTTGTCGGGTGAAGAGGTTCATCCTGGAAGCCTTGCAGCAAAGGTGAGGATCTGGCTGTGTCAAAATCACGTGAGGTGTTTAGAAAAATAATAAAATCCTTATTGAATCTGAATCCCTCCCGGTGGAACTTGGGAATTAGCATTTACTTTCTATAACAACAACAACAAAACCCCACCCTGAGTAATTCTGGGGTGGTATCTGGGGTATGGGAACTTGTAGAACATAAAAGTCTGATCTCTACTACACACTGTTGAATTTCACACAAGTGAAAAGGGGGGAGGGAGGGGGGCCCCTTGCAGCAGACCGCTGGCTCGGGGCTGGGCATTCGGCGTCCACGGTGTTAGCTACAGTTCCCACGAATCGATCCCTCTCAGAAGAGGGCTACCGCAGCCAACAGGAGGACGGGTGGACGCTGGCTATTAAAAACAACCAACCAACAAACCGCCAGCCCAGGCCTTTCGGAAACCTCTCCTACTCTCAAGACGCGTGTGGGTAGCGCTACCGGACTGTGAACGCGTCTCCGTCGTATCCACCTGTCTGGCACACCGCGGACGCCCCAACGCGGTCCCTACGTGGCGGAGAGCGATCGTGGAGAGCGCCGGGCCGAGGCCGGGCCCGCCCCAACCCCGAGCCGGGCCGGGGCCTTGCCCGCTCCCCAGCCGGGTCGGCGCAAACGTCCGCTCCGCAATTCCCCGATCGGGCTCCGCGCTCTTCCTTGATTCCCTCACCTACCTAAGGGTCCTCTAGTAAGACTGATTTCTTCCTCCGTGACCAAATAATCCACTCTCCCGTTCATGGTTTACTGCTCGCCGGGATTCGCCTGAGGCTCGGCGGACGCGCCGCAGGGGTGAAGGTGAATCAAGTTCGGCGCCGCGTCCCGAGCTCGGCCCTTTCGGTTTCCACTGCCAGCGGACCGGAAAAGGAAGCGGCGGCCGCGCTAGGGATGCTGGGAGTGATAGTTTACCCTGGGGCGGCTGGCATCCCTTATTTCAGCCATCTAGAGCAAGGCAGGAACCTTTCCAGTTTGCCACCAAAAAGCAGATAGGAAGGGAAGAGAGTCTGAAGGAGGGTAGTGCTGTTCCATCTTTGACACTTCACCCTTGTGGCCATCTGCATTATCTGCATTCACACAAAAGAAAAACAAAGCTTATGTGTCTTTGACCTTGGAAAAATGTAGTAAGTATACCTCCCCTGATGATAGGAGGTAGGGGACACTGTCTTCCTTGATATTTGTATTTTAGACAATTGTGTTTCAGCTTCCTTAGCCAAATATTAGTTGACTGAAACCCTATGGTTTTATTCCAGAACTTCTATATTGTTCCTTTGATCTTTGGGATAGTTTTTGTACCACTACTAAAGTGTTTTTGTTACTAACACTCTATATTTTGAAGGCTGCTATTGTGATACCTCCAGCGCTATTCTTTTTATTTGCAACTGCTTTTCCTATCCAATTTTCTTTAGTGCCTCCATATAGATTTTGGATTGACTTAGTTAATCCCATGAGAAACATTATTGGAATTTTTGAAGGGTATTGATTCTATAAATTGCTTTTGACAGTATGGACATTCTCCTGATATTTATTCTGTCAGGGCATGAGCATGGAATGTCTTTTCATCTTTTGATGTCTTCTTTAGTTTCTTTCTTTAAGCTCTTAATCAGCTATAACAATGCTGTACACATTCACAAAGAATCTGTCAACTTCCTATAGTCAAATGTACTTACACCTTTTGGTCATGGGCAAGAGGAAACCGACTTCTAAATTATAGACAAAATGTAAGGTAGATAGCAACCACCCAATGCCCTACTTTTGCATCCATTCTCTTTGATTTGTTGGCTACTCCCCCCGCCACAAACACCCCTAAGAAGCCTTATTTTGAGAAAGAGATTTGATAGGAAATCTTTGTTAAAGAGAAAAGGTCTCAATAGGGGAGAATGAAGAGAGATGACATTGACCAAAAACACTGTACTCATAACCTGATTTATAGAATTGTAAGCCTTTGTACAACTACTTAATAATAACAAAACAGCAACAATAATAATGAAAATGAAAAGAAGGCATTTCATACTTTGGTTCTGGCAATGAATTTGTTCTTACAACTGCTAAGGCCATTATCTGTCACTAGAGTCAGGCCCAGCCCTTTTTCTTTTAGCTGTTTTTTAAGTTAGGTCATCTATTATTATCTCAGGCCAATTTAGGCTTTGATCCTTGTAGCAACTTATTTCCCATGATGAGATTAAAGTGATAAACCATAACACTCAGCAATCCTTACCATTAAGACCTCTCTCTGCCCCACACCCATAATGAACTATTTCAAAGTGATACTGCTTGTCTCCTTTCACTTAAATCGTATGAATTCAAACATCCAAAACATTAAGAAGTGCTGTATTATGGGCCATTGTTCATTATATGATGGTTTAATAGAGATATAAAGTCAGTGAAATTATGGAGGCAATATTCCAAATTTAAAATAGCCAAAAATAATACCAGAAACACAGCAGCAGTGAGAACACACCGGATGCAAAACTTACTTTCCTTAGGTCCTGTCATCGATTTTGATTATGTCCAGAGAGGTTTAATAATTTCCAAATATTATAGGTCTTGAAATTCTGGTAGATTAACACTTTCCTATAACTACATAGTAGGTTTCAGAACCACTATGGAAACTCCAAATGGCTATAACACAAAAGTTTATTACAGCCTCCTATACATATCACTGGCAAATGCCACTCTTTATGCTTATGTTTCACATTAACAAAAATGGACAAATAATAAAACAAATGAACTGGAAACAAATCATAAAACTGTTAATACTACCTCCATGTAATGCAATGTAAACATGAGGCAGGATATCTAGAGCTCATAATTTAAATATGCACAAGCCTACATGCTAGTTAATCTAAGTTGCTGTTTCATCTACAGGAGAGATGAAAGGCATATGAGGACAGTTTGGGGAATGCTCAGTGGTAGAGCAGTTGCCTGTCAAGAACAAGGCCTAGATTGATATAGATTTAAAAAAAAAAAGAGGACACTGGATGTGAGGGAAAGGAAAGGCAAGGAGAGGGAAGGGGAGAGAAGGGAAAAGTGAGGTGAGGTAAAGTGAGATAAAAGAACCCAAGGGGGGGCTGGGAAGTTGGCTCAGTGGTAGAGCACTTGCCTTGCATGCATGAGGCCCTGGGTTCCATTCCTCAGCACCACATAAGCAGAAAAAAAGCTGAAAGTGGCACTGTGGCTCAAGTGGTAGAGTGCTAGCCTTGAGCTGAAGAGCTGAGGGACAGCGCCCAGGCCCAGAGTTTAGACCCACAACCAGACCCCACCCCAAAAAAAGAAACCAAAAAGGAAGTGTGGTGTAAATTTAAAACCAAAGTCCGACTTTCACTCTTCCATGATTTTATTTCAAGATGACAACTCAGAAGGTATAAGCACAATGTAATTATCAGAGTGATCATAGATTATTCCTTCCAGCTAGTCACAGTGTGAGTCCATAATACAGCTCCATGAATATTTACTTAGGTGGCTTCTTGGGTGGCTTTGCTTCAGGTACAACTTTAAATAAGCGATTTGTGACAGCACTTTTTATAGCTGGGATTGCACCAGCAAGAATGGAAAGCAGATACAGAATTAAACGAGCTAGCATTAGAGGGATTATTCTGTGCATATCCACATGTATGTAGGTTCGAAGACGTTGTTGTCTGCCTCCTGGTGGGCCACTGTCTTCACTACCTCCCTGTCCTTTCTCTTCACAGGTTGGTGGTTTCCAGCCAGGCATACAGTGACAATTGTGGTTGTTGTTGCACACCCCTTTATAGTTGCATCTTCTCACATCACAGTCAAAATTCAAATCGACATGAGAGGTACAATTCTTCTCAAAACAGAATCTTCCTGGGGCACACATTGCACCATCCACTACCATACCCATTTGTGGCAGCTCTGTGCCAAAGTGTGCATCATATCCAAAGCAATGGTGCTCTACTTGCTCGTATCGCACACTTAGATGGCGAAAAGCAGTGTGCTCCCCTCCTCCCGGAATATTAGACAGACCACTGCAGTGCAGCATGCCACACATAAAGTTTTCCTTGCTACATTTCACAATTCTAGGTCCTCCTCGTTGGGACTTCATCCCACAGTTTCCAAATCGGTCACCAATCATATTCAATTGTTTATAGCACTCTGCTGCACCATCTTTTATGTTGCGTCCAAAAAGGGCTTGGCACTGTGTCTCACGATCGCTGCAGTTTCCTCTCATACAAACAGCTCGTGGGGAACACGGGGTTCCATCCTGGATGTAAGTGTCATTTGGGCATTTCTCCGATTGTCCGTCGCAGTATTCTGTCAGATCACAAATACCCCCTATGTCTCTGCAGATTGTTCCAGGGGGAGAGAACTTGCAGTCCTGGCAGCAGTCTCCTTCATTACACTTGGAGCCTGGTGTGAACATGCAGTCAGTCCCACAACACTTATCGCTGGCGCATTCTTTGAAGGAGCCACAGTCACAGTCCTCCAGTTGATTTATGATCTTGTCTCCACAACGAGGAGCTACATAACGAAAACTTTCATAGGGAACATTCAGCTGCCACATGCAAGTGTCCCATTTAAGAACCCATTGGTGCGTTGCTGGATAAGAACAATTGCTAATTGTATCTTGAAGATTTGGCACAGGAGTCATGAGACAATGGGTCCTTCGAAAACAAAGGCAATGAGGTGAGTCGTGTGCCATATTAAATTGATGACCTAATGTATGTGCTATCATAGTCGAAGCCAAAAATACATGAAATCTTCTTGCAGCCACAAACAATACTGCCCACCTATCATTACATATTGCTCCCTGAACAGCATAATGATTCTTTTCTGCAATCAGTTGTCCTGCTATAAGCACTGAGATGCTATGACTAACTCTATGTTGCCATGTGCTGTGCATCCACCTCCCAAAATTTCTTAAGAAGGCAAATGCATTGTTTATTTCCAAACTGACAGCATCTGTAGTATCCCAGAGCAACACGAAACGCACACGGATGTTGAAACCAGTTGGTTTGTAAATGGTGTCTATAATGCTGTTTATAATCATTACATGCTCCAGTACAAGGGTCTGATTTTTGAAGTGGTTGATGTAGGAATAAGAAACGATGTACATAACTCGCGTGTCTTTTGGATGTTTCCGCCACAAATAATAGGTGCCTGCTCTAGGACTTCCAAGCAGTTCGAGGTCTTCAAATACTGGTTTGGTTTCCTCCTCTCCAATGTCACACCTTTGGCTGGCCTCTCCTCTCTCTTCCACCACGAGCAGAGAAATCACATGCTCAAATGTGGAAGAGGTCTCCAGTGGTTTGATTTCATAAGTGAAGTCATCCACCTGTATCCTTCCGCGCAGACCTCCATGGCAGGTGTCCAGTGTGGCCAGGGATCCAGGGACCCCTTCCAGGTAGCTGTAGTAGTAACAGTCTCCAGGGAGAAAGGGATAGTCCTCCTGCATGCCTTCTTGGTTGCTGTCAGTAATAACAGGTAAATGTCTGGGCAGCAAGTTCTTCTTGAGCTTCATGTGGAACACGTGTCTTTGACCCCGGAAGCGCATGCTGTAGGCGAGCTGGTCTGGCATCTTAATTCCGCCCTTTCTATGGGGCACCTTCCTGGGGATGACAATTTCAGAAGATGTGAAGCGCCATCCGGGTGGGCCATAGGAGCAGCAGGCAGGGGACAGCAGCGTCCAGAGAACAGGCAGCCAGAGAGCTCCAGGCAGAAGGCCCTGGGCCCAGGCAGCCCTCATGAGAAAGAGAGGTCTGCGCCAAAGTCAACGCCGTCAGCCCGGTATCAGGTAGGCTAGACTGTCCCTAAGACATCAAGATTCCCATCAGGCTGCCCAGGAGCAGTGCACACTGAGGCTGAAGGCTTTCAGCAGCTCCTGAGGTATAAAGGGAGGGTGAGCCTGTTACATAACAATGCTGTGCTCCTCAATGATCTAGAGGGGTGGGGAGCGCCTAGGGAAGAAGAAAAATGAAAGGGAGCTATTTGGAAAGTGGTATAGATTGGGGCTGAACATCCTATGGCCTGGAGGGAATCCACAAGTGAGGGGACACTTATATGGGTTCCGTGCAATTTTATGTCAGATAGGAATTCTTTCCCAAAAGCCATATGAGAAAAAGATTCAGTTTTTTAGGAATCAATTGGGATGGAGTATTTAAGACAGAAACCCTAAACACCACCAGGCATGTGGACGATCCTCCTTTCAGGAATGTTTATGGGACAAATGGTATTCCTTGAAGTTGAACCAAGTTTGAGGCACTGGTGGAAAATAATACTAAACAGTTTGAAAGAGAAACCTTGGTTGAAGAACAAAGAGTTGCTCTTTATGTTCAACCTAACCTGTCATATGTCAGAGACATTGGATTGTATTCTTAGGAAGTTATACCCATACGTTCATCTGGGAATGTGCACAGCAACGTCATTTCTGCCTTTACAGCATCAACTAGAAACCAAGAACCCAGCCTTTATCAGGTGAAACAAACGGATTCAGCCAAGATCATTGAGATGTTTCTCTCTTTTGACATGAAAAATTCCTGGTAGTGGAAAGAGCAGGGCTGAATCTCACAGATATGACTAGTAGAGAAAGAAAACAGGCCAAATGGAATGACCATTTATACATGATTTCATTTGGAGGAAGTACTAAGAAAGTACAAGTGAGTCTATGGAGTTAGTAATGCTGGGATTAATATCCTAAGGTGGGTGTGGTGGAATTGGGCATGAAGAATCCTTTCTGGATGCAGGAAAATGTCATTTTCACTGACATGGTGATTCAAATGAAAACTCATCACAAAATATAGTAGAAACAGATTTCTAAATAGGCTCACCACTGTAGTTCTATCTCAGTAATTAAATAGAATGTATTCAGTTCTGTTGCTTCTTTTTCTATTTCATGGAATAGTTTCAGGATTATTGGTAATAGTTCTCTTTGATTATCTGAAAGAATTTGCTTGTTAATACGTCTGTCCTGGTATCTTCTTTGTTGAGAGACTATTACTGCTTCAATCTCATGGCTTTTCATAGCTTTAATTGCTTCATACCACTGTGGTTAAGATTGGTGGCTCATGTGCATCTAGTTATTTATACATTTCTTCTGGATTTTCTAGCTTATTCAAATATATGTCCTATAAATATTTGCTCATGATCTTTTGGCTTTCATTGGTACTTGTGATATTTACTTTTTCATCTCTAATTTTGTTGGTTTGAGTTGGCTCTTGCCTTTCTTGGCATTAAATTAGCTTGGAAATTATCAAATTTTTCATACATCCATTTTTATTGATTATTTGTATACTTTTTGTGGTATCTTTTTTTTTTTTGCCTCCGGTCCTGGGGCCTGAACTCTGGGCCTGGGCGCTGTCCCTCAGCTCTTCAGCTCAAGGCTAGTGCTCTACCACTTGAGCCACAGCGCCACTTCCGGCTTTTTTC